AAAAAATTACACGTATTTTATAATTAAAAAAAAAGAAGAAATTAAAATACAAAAGGGTAGGGTCGTATTTTCTTTTCCCAATTTGCTCTTTTTACACAATGACAAAAAAAATTAGAAGCCATTACATAAAAAACGACCAGAAATTGTGCACAAAAAGAGAAAAAAAGCTTGAGTACTAGAATTAGGAAGAAGAAGAAGAAAAATGGGATTTTGATTTGAAAAAAATAAAGATATATTTAAAAGGGATTCATTAAGGGTAAAATTGTCATTTCCGCTTTTTTTTTTTTAACTGTTGTGGGCCTCGAAAAATACCTCTGACGTGCCTGAATTGCGTCTCAATCACGCGTTATGCCAGGTTGGATTCGCGTGTTTTTTTGTTTAAGAATTGGATAGTTGAAGTGCCTACTTGTGCACTTTGAAAGTTAGAGTTCATACTTAAAATTTGAAGCCAAGTTTAGGGTCCAATTTATGTATTATGCCAAATATAATTATGTTATATTGAAATACACTAATCATTGACTTGAGTTAAACTTGAACATCTACTTAATCATTCTCTCTAGCTTAAGTTGCAAGGGATAAAACAAATGTGGGGTGAGCCTATATAGAAAGGTTGTGTTTTTGATGCAGACTTGCACCAAATCTTATCTTATCTGCTTTATCTCTTTTTATCTGTTTAACATCAAAATCTGTCTTTTCAACTTAGATTAGCTGTACGCACCAAATCGACACACTTGAACAAACTATACTTTACTGTTCTACTTATCATGAGTTAGAAGGATTTGGTAGTATCTTTTACGATATTATCATCTTTATAGTGTTTTTAAAACAAAAATTCGATGCAATCAAACTTCTACCAACAATAATAATGATATACTCAATGCAGTTCTATAAGTGAAATCTGGAGAGCTAAGATATAGTGTGTACGCAGCAGCTAAGGTAAAGGTGGAGAGACAATTTTCAATTTAAGGATCTACGGCCCAAGTAACGCATATAAAAAATAACATAGAAAGGAAATACAATACTGAAAATAATGGAGAAAAAATCAAATATACGATAACCTAAACAAAAGGTAATATCGACTACAATAATATTTCACTAAAACACAACTTTCCTATTATGTATTATGTATAATTATATCAATAAAAAAAAAATCTGGTCAAATGAAGAGGAGATTTGACTGCACTCCGATCCCTTATATTTCACTTTTGTTGATTTGAGTTTACATCTCAATATCAAATTAATTTAATTAGTAAGTACTACTTTATTATATGGATTCCACTTAATTTTTCTTCAATGATGTTAAGTTTTAAACTTTATCAATCATTAAAGAGGCAGCAAGTTTCTTATAGGGACCCAACCTGCACTTTTTTGTTGCCTTTACTATAATGGTGTTGCTTAGCGTGTCACAAGTGTTGTCTTCCTTTTCCACCTGAAAGAGAATACAAATATACAACCTGGACTTACATGACAATATGCCAAAAGACACAACTCAATATATTTTATTTTTTTTATTTTTATTACAAGGAAAACCCCAGCCGCTACTCTTTGGGTGCGCACAGAATAAAACTCCCGCTCCTATGCAATAGCTCACAAACCACATAGGAGAGGTAACCCGCACTAGGCAAGCCCGGTGCGATGAGTTCAACCCAAAAGGCAAACCCCTTGCTTTCGCTGGCAAGGGGTTTCGAACTTGAGACCTCCAACATGGAAGTCCCAAGCCCAAACCACTGGACCACCCCGGGTAAGACACAACTCAATATATTGTTTGATGGAAACACAACACAAACCACTAAACAGGTAAATCAAAAAGAAAATCCATGTCTAAAGCAAGTTGAGGCATAGAAATCATAAGAAGACATCCAATATGTACATAACTTTTCGTTTCTCGAATTACATTCCACAAATTATTTATCTAACAAAGAGTTAAAAAAGGGGGAAGGATTGAAGATGTCAACAAGAAAACAGAAAATCTACAACCAATTCTACTCAGCCCTTCAACTCGGCTGTCTCCAAAAATATTTACAGCATATTCTAACGTTCCTACTCCCGCACTCTATCACAACTTCGTTCAGTCTTATTTAGGCATAAGTCATACTTAATATAGTAATACCTCGATTCTCAAAACTGGCAAGAAGTTCCAAGCCTTTGCATCTGCCTCTGACCAAGGGTGATAGACTTGCGTTTGGCGAAAGCTGGGTAAAGAAGCTCTTCAAACTTCTCTAGAAACAAGCCCCACTCGACGTCATCCATATCTGATACCTTCACAAAGGTGACACTTGCAGGAAGCTGCTCATTTGCGCTACGATGTCCAGAGGAAGAACTAGCCAGATAGCCGTTTTCTGGTTTTGTTCCTGAGATATTAGGATATTTCAGTTTCTTCTCACCTAAGCTGGTGTTCTTGAGAGACATTGAAAGTTTTGACACAGCAATGTTCCTTGCTGGGGCAGGAACATAATTAAAGCTCTTCTCATCTTCTTCGTCCCTTTCCACTTCCTCAATACTTTCATCTAGTTTAGAGAGTGGGAAGCAGCCATTTCCTCCAATTGGGAGATGAAATGGGTTTCTATTCGTGAAATCCTGAGAGATTAATTTGGGACTAGACTCATATCCAGAATCTTCGCAATCTATGTCAAACTGAAACTCGTTATCCACTTCAGTCTTGGGAGAAAGAATCTCCCTCTCAGCAATCAGGCTTCTTGCCTCCAAACAAACAACTTCAAGCTCACTTGGTTTCTCCTCCCCACTACGGAATTCCCTGGTCATCATCTCACCAATTTCCGCAAGACAGAGACCATAAGCGGCAGCTTCCTTGAGAAAAATGGTAGAAAGGACCAAGACACGAAGGCAAGCTTCACGAATCATAGGGAGTTCACTTCGTAGCATATCAGAGTCTTGAATAGGATCAAGTTTCTTTATGTACTCAAGTTCATCATCTGTGAACGGAATAGATGCCTGGGGCCAATGGATCCACTCAAAATACGGATCTTCCAAGCTCTCTGGAAGACAGAGCCCATGATCAATGGGGATGAGCTCTACTTGACCAAACCTTCCAATACCATCAAGCTTCCTAACTAAAAGATTCCCTGCATGTCTATCTGTGTTAAAAATCCTAATGTCTAATATTCCAATGCG